AGTTATTGATACTTTAAATGCAAAATGATGACATAAAATCTTGATAAAAAATGCACTTTTAAGTACTAATCACTATCGACATATTATTTGTACATATCCTGTATTCAATTGTTCATTTACATCCCAACCATTCCAAGTCTCAAACTGTAACACCCAAAACTTTTAAGATAAAATTCACACAATTATCAAGTTATAAAAATAAGAAGAATTCTAAGAAGTTTTTTTTAAAATTAAAATATAACCATTAATTAAGTATTATAATTACATTCATACATTAGCATGAAAATTCTAAATTTCAAATTACTACTTAAAGTTTTAACAAAATACTACTACATAACTTTATACATACGAATTAGAAGTATTGTTAAATACAACCCAAAATAAAAATTCTTCCATTTTGTAAATCATCATTTTATAATAAAAGTAATTCATCATTTTGTAATAAAAAACAATTCAAACACAAATTACCAATTTACAAGTTTTAGATGGCTTAGCATAACAGATTCCAAATACTATTTAGTATTTTGAGTATAAATGAAGCTATATAACTCGGTTTTATACGTTGTTTGATTCTTTGGAATGCTAAAACATGAGTTTACAAATATAATGCAGATGAATATAACCAGTTTTTCCATCTTCATGTCTAAATTTATAAATTTTAAAAACCTAAAAATCTATCCTGCTAATTCCCAATTCTGACCTATCTTTGGTTTTTCTTTTATATTTAGTGTTTTGTCACTCTAATTTAAGCAAGGTCAATTTCATTTGGAAGGTAACATCAATGTCTATAACTTTCATGAGTAAAATATCTAAAATGGTGTCATCTTAGGGTTCAAATACTAGTAGAGAAATCGATAGACAACTTGTCCAATTTTGATCTCTAAGTTCAACAAGTATAAATTTGTTTTTCATGTATTTTTCCATCATTTCCGGTCACTATAAACACAAAATGCTTTTACCTATCATCATTTAATAAACTTTCTAAACCTATACGAAAGAATTGTAAAATATCAATTATTCAAGAAAAACACAAATAAATTTAAGTGATTTAATTAGAGAGCTTGTTACCTTTTATTGCAAAAAAATGAGTCAAGAAATTGAGAACAACTCATTTTCTTCTTCTCCTTCCTTCTTTCTTCTAACCCTTCCTTTCCCACTTTTCTAGAGATTTCTTATTATTTGTAATTATTTTTTTTTTATTTGCATCTTGCCCCCTTATATATACTTTTATTTTTACATCGACCTCACTACTTCTCTTTCTTGATAGTAACTTCTTACTCCATTATTGTTTTCAATTTCACCTCTCTCATTAAATAGCTTCTCTTTTAATCCAATTAATTTGTTAAATTTAATCATTTCTCCACATTATTTGTATTTTATTTTATTTTACTAAATTAAAATAAGATTATTTTACCCGAGGATTTACAATATGCTTACATGCACCACCTAAAATGAAGAGAACACGATGAAAAATCAAATGAGATGGTGATATAACATTTTTTTTTTAATAAGAAGCGTTACACGTGCCAACAACTTTTTCGAATAAAATAATATAAATTTTATATTAAATGATGTAATTATCTTACTCAAATTGACATTAAAAAAAAAATTGATGTAAAAAGATCATTTTACCCTTAACTCCATGCTTTTTTTAGATAAAAGGGTTTATGTGTCATTGCATTGCTGATAAAAAAAGAAAAAGGAAAAAATACCCCTCCTTTTATGGGCTTTTCAGTATTATATTATTTATTATTATATATAAAATACAATAATACTCCCAAACAAATCGACTAATTTGACGTGTAAAAAGATAAAAATACCTATAATCTAAAAGAAAACTAGTTTTTCGAGTAGGGATAAATGACCACTTTACTGTAACCGTGAATAGAAAAATATGAGTGGGCCTCCAAGAACTTTGCTTTACGTTTTAATTGTTTTGATATATTCTATATAAAAGAATTAAAAAAATGATTGGGATTGTATTGATTAGTTCATGATTGTTAACTGAGTTGATTGTAAACCTGGTCCTTGAATTCTAATAAAATTATTAACCGGTTCCTTTTTGTTTAAAATCTAATTTTCAATCCCGGAGTTATTAAATTTGCTAGCAATGTAGTCCATTCTTTAATTTCATGCTCATTAATAGAAAGAAAGAACAAAAAGACAGAAGAAAGTGAGATAATAAAATTTGACCAGCAAAGGATGAATTTATGAAAATATAACTATTTAATTATTTGTGAGGCTAATGGATAAATCTACCGATTGGTATTTTCTCCCACAAGTTTTTCTTATTAAATTTTGAATGAAAATGTCCTACAACTACCACAAAAAAAAAATTTAAAAAACATAAAAATTTAAAATTAAACTTTAAAAAATAGATTCAAGGTTGGAACCAAATTAAATTGAAAAAAAACAAAAAAAAAACTCGATGTAATTTAAGCTGACCCGATAAGTTAACCTAGTATTCTGGTTAAATTAGTTGATTTTTATGTTTTTTTTACTAAAATAAAATTATTTTAATTTTTTTAATAAAATAACTTAAATGATATATCAATCTAGTTAAAATTTAATAAATCAATTAAAACTTAAAATCCGAACCTTAGATTAGATTACACGTCTAAAAACTGTGAGGGTAAAGGACACCTAAGCCTACCGTTGCTACACATCATGTATGCATTCTTACCAGTATTAAACTATTAAATGCCCCATTTCCTCCTGTAACAATCGATGTCCCGTGTCCATACAACCGATGGCCCCTTGTCCATCCATGCTTAGCTGGCTCCTCGTCAGTGCACTCTCACCGTTCCTGTTGGTACTGTTATCAGAAAGTGAGCCAAAAAAAAAATCAATTTTAATTTTTAAAAAATTTCTTCATATTTGTCTTCTCTGACTCTTTTATTTTTTATTTCATAAAAATTTACTCAATATACTTGATTAATATAAGATAAAATCAATTTTTTTTTAATTTTTCTTTTTAATTAACTAAATCGAACTGAAACTAGTTAATTCAAATTGGATTCAGTTTAGTTTTTGTTTTGATTTAAAAAAATTAATTTAATAATTTTTAGATAAAAATAAGATCAAACTGAAAATACTCACCCCTAACTATTATTATTATTTAAAATTAGTCTCACTAATTTAAAAGTTGTTTAAAAATATAATTGCAGTTGTTTTTTAAAATAATTTTTATTTTAAAATATATTAAAATAATATTTTTTTTATTTTAAAAAATTATTTTTAATATTAATGTCTCAAAGTAATTTGAAAACATAAAAAAATATTAATTTAAAGTAAAAAAATAAAATAAAAATTTATTTTTTTTTAAAAAATAAAATACAAAAATAAACAATGCTTTAGTTATTTTTATATCTACTTGTTGTGTTTTTAAATATTAAAGTTTATATGATTTTCACCCAGGGCACAGACATGTATGGGCTGTAGCCTAGGTTAAGATTTTATTAATATTTTTTAACAAAATTTATATATTTTTTTTATTTTCAATTGAGATATCAAAATTTTTAAAAAATTTATGTAGAGTCTTCTACTATAATGCTTTAACTTGGGTTAAAATTTCATAATTTTTAAATAAATTTAGAAATTTGATAAAAAATCACAATTTAACCAGTTTTATGTTATTGGGTGTAATTTTCAATCTAACAATCAAATTAAGCTGAAATTTTATGAGAAATTTTAAAATATATTAAATAAAATATGATCAAAATTTTAGGATAAATAAAATTTGGTAATGTTAAAAACAATCAAATAAAAGCAAAACAACTCATTAAAGATATAATGATTATTTACCATTAAAAAAATAAAACAAATTAGTTCTTTATTTTTTTTATATGTTGCTGAGTGAGCAAAAGCAGAATAAAAAAAAAAAGAAAAGGTGAGAGAGAAAGAGAGAAAAATAAAGAAAAAATATAAAAAATTTCATAAAAAAGTGAAAGATAACCTTGTAAACTTACAAATTTCTACTTATAAAATACTAATTTAAAAAAGAATCAAATAAAGAAAGGAGAAATTAAAAAAAATTAATTAGTTTTTTCAGTTAACATGAGGTTATTATTTTATAATAGTTAAGGGGTTGTTACAATATCGATTCAGATTTGATTATAAATAAATTATTTTTTATAAAATATTAAAAGATATAACTTTAATAATAAGTTTATTTTTACTTCAATAAAGTTAACTTTAAAAATTTATATATATGAATTAATAATGTATTTTAAAAAATTTATATATTGATTTAATATTCTAGTATAGAAAAAATTCCATCCGCCTTTGATTTTCACATGCCTCCACCCATCCCTACTCCTTTTTATCAAGTCCCAACAGAATTTAATTGCGTTTTTATTCTTCTCTGGAATCTACCAAAAATATTCTTTGGATATTCTTTTTTGTTCTTGAAGCAAAATAGAAAAAACAAAAAAAAAAAAATTCCATAACCAGTTAAACGCGTTTTTCATTTTTGCATCCAGAAATCGCTCCTTCCTAGGAATATTCTTGACTCGGGTAGATGAGCCTTAGGTGAACATCATCAAGCACGCTATATGCTATTATTTGTTGATCACCCATTGGTCCACTTATTAAAGCAGACAATATTTAAAAAAAAAATGATTCAATAAATTAGAAATTGTAAAATGCCATATACTTATAATTATTTATGGATTTAAAGACCATAAGATTTCCCTATTAAAAAAAGGAAAAATTGAATCTTGTCTAGAAAATAAATCTGAATGGAAGAATGCTACGTGTCACTCTCCCATTAAATTAAAAAAATGCTCCTCGTCTCACCTAATTAATTCACAAAGGGGAGCCATTAAATCCTCACCGCTGGAAGGAAACAAGATAATAAAAACACATTAATTAATTAATCAGTAAAAAAAAAAAAAAAACTTTTGACAAAGACTATAAACCGAAAAGGGTTTAAGACAGAGGAAATAAGCAGAGGATTTTTGGAATATCCAAGAGGATATAATAACGCGCAGAGTGGAATATTCTACGTGGAGATCCATCCACCCCGTTTCCGTCTCCGTCTCCGTTTCCGTTTCCGTTCCTCCCCACAAATATATAAACCCCTCTCCAATCCCTTGTCCTCACACAGCAATCTCAAAAATCCTATTTTCTTTACCTAATCAGTTATTATGGCTCTTAAAGCTGTTCATGTCTCTGATGTTCCCAATCTTGACCACGTCCCTGAGAATGCCTCTCTTTCTCTCTACTCAACTCGTTTCTCCAAAGGTAAATTGGCAGAAGGAGAGCATTTTTTATTGATTCTTGGAGTTCCATGATGTGGATTTTGGTTTTTTTTTTTCTTTTTTTGCAGGAGTTGAATTGAATAGAGAAGCTACGTTCAAGACACCAAAGTTTTTGGTGTTTGGGCACAGAGGGAATGGAATGAATATTTTGCAATCAACAGATCGTAGGATGAAAGCTATTAAAGAGAACTCCATTATGTCTTTTAATAGTGCTGCTAAACACCCCATTGATTTCATCGAATTCGATGTTCAGGTATAATTTTCAGCATCTTTTCTCTTCCTATTTCGTTCCAAGAAGGGAAAGAAAATCTTGTTTCTGTGCTTGCTGGGAATTCCCTTTTTTTTTTTTGTGTGTTTTTTTCTTTTTCTGGAAAACAATGGAATTTAAGTTCCTTTTCTTTTACGTCGAGTTGATGTTTGTGAGCATGGTATCATCACTTAGGGTGGTTAAGAAATATATTAAAATAATCTATATTTTTTATTCTTTGAATAAGTACAAAATAATAAAAAAATAATTTTAAATAAAAATAAATAGATTTTGATCTCCCTCTATCTGGGACGGGACGCAATCACTGAGATCTCTTAGTTATTGGTTGCCGTGTACAGTTTTAGACCTTTCACCTTGCGGGTTTCTTATGAAATTTTATCTAGAAATTTTCTTTGATTTGTTATATAGAAACTTATAATTTTTATTCACAACCTGATCTTTTTGAATGATTTGAAAAATAAGTTTTAATAAAAAACAAAATATATGCAAATAAAGGTATAATTAATTAAAAATAGCTGTATAAAAAAATGCACAATTAAAATCTAAAAAATAGATATTTTATTATTATTGAATATTCTTGATTTTTTTTTTAAATTCTACATGTTAGAATCATGTATAATTTTTCATAAAATAGTTGCTTACGTTATTATAAAAAAACGTTTAATTTTATTTGAAAAGCATGTTATCATCCTATACCTTTTAAAATATCATTATAATTATTTTATTTAATAAGGATGTTAATCTAGAATATTAAAAAAATAATTAAAAAAGAAAAAAGAAAATTAAAGAATGACTTGGATAGTTAAGCCCAGTCATGCTTGGACGAGAAAGCATGACTTGAGATATCGCTAGGCTTGTATGGATATTTGACCCTTTTTTTTTAAATATAGGCCAAGCATGCTTGACTTTAGATCAGACTTGTTGTCCATGGCGGCATCTTTTTTACTACCTTCGTTGAACAGGAAATCGAGGCTGAGTTTTTTTTATTTTATTTTAAAAAAACTCAAATTTTAACTTGTTTTTATATAAAAATACCTTAAAAAATATAAAAAGCTCGTGAACGTGGCGCACTGTGAAACCCTATTTCGTTTTTTTATTTTTTATTTTTTTTTAAATTTAATGATGGGAGGATAAGGAACTGATTGTGCTTATTTTTGCATGGTATTATCTTTTATCTCTGGAAAAAAATAGAAATAGGATTCAAAATAAAAGTATGGAGCTGGATGAGAGACAAAGGCAAGAAAATGTGAAAAAACGAATTGTCGTTTTTGTAGGTCACAAAAGATGATTGTCCAGTCATTTTCCATGACGACTTCATCCTCTCTGTAGATAATGTAAGTGTCTCCAATGCATTCGGAATCTCTATTTTTGGCTACCTAAAAATTTTGTGGGTTCAATTTATTATTTAGAAACATAAATAATTTTGAAGCTATGAATTTATTCGCAATTTCAGGGCATCATTTTCGAGAAGAGAGTGACAGAACTTTCCCTGTCTGAATTCCTATGCTATGGACCCCAAAAAGAAGCAGGAAAATCAGGCAAATCTTTGGTTAGGAAAACAAAAGATGGGAAGATAGTAGAGTGGAATGTCGAGAAAGATGACTCATTGTGCACTTTGCAAGATGCGTTTCAACAAGTGGAGCCTTCAGTTGGCTTTAACATTGAACTAAAATTCGATAATCACATTGTCTACCAACAAGATTATCTCATTCGTGTTCTTCAAGCCATCTTGCAGGTATACATGGACGACCTTTCGCTAATCAAGGCCCCTTTTTTAGCTTAAACAAGAGATTTTTCTTAATTGGGGCATTAATTTTGTGGTGTAGGTGGTATTTGATCATGGTAAGGATAGGCCTATTATTTTCTCATCATTCCAACCTGATGCAGCATTGCTCGTCAGAAAACTGCAGAGCACCTACCCTGTAAGTTGTTAAATTTGATTATTTGTTATTTATGTAAGCATGGTACTCTTTATCTTGTATTGATGATTGGTTTCTTTTTTATTGCATTACAGGTTTACTTCTTGACAGATGGGGGTGTTGAGATTTTCTATGATGTAAGGAGAAATTCCTTAGAGGAGGCTATAAAGGTGTGCTTGGAGGGAGGTTTGCAAGGGATTGTGTCTGAGGTCAAAGCGGTTTTTAGAAACCCTGGGGCAGTATCCAAGATCAAGGATGCCAAGCTTTCACTTGTAACTTATGGAAAATTGAAGTAAGTATTTGGATTTTCTGACTTTGAAATTCACTATTTTATGCGATTTTGGTAAAAGAATTTCATCCAAGAAAAATCAAAGGTCAAACCTTGTCAAGGTACTAATTGTTTTTGGTTTTGTAGTAATGTATCAGAAGCTGTTTACATACAACATTTAATGGGTATCGATGGAGTGATAGTTGATCTGGTTCAAGAGATCACTGAGGCAGTATCTGATCTGATAAGGCCATCAAAGGTGGAAGAAGCAGAGAGTTTAGCAGAAGGGCATAATGAGATGGAGGAGAAATCAAAGCCCAAATTCTCACAGAGGGAGCTTTCATTTCTTTTGAAGCTCATTCCAGAATTGATACAGCACTAATCCCATGCCCTTTTTTGTATAATTTCACTAGAAGTTGGCAGTTTTGGTACCTCCTTTTTTATGCTTGTAAAAAATCTCATCTCTTCTACCATTCTGACGATGACCCCCCCCTCCCCCGCAATGATATCACAGGCAGCTGCCTTTTCCAGCTTATCAATGTGTAAAAGAATCTTCTTTAGCTGTTGATCCCCAAAACAGGGGGCTTGTATTTAGTTTTATCTGTTTACTTCCCATCAATATGGAGTTCTTGTTACATGGCCTCCGTCAGTTTTTTTGCTTGAAGCCTCTTGCAGCCTGGCTCAGGGGTCTGACTTGAAGAAAGATCTGTATCGGTGAATCAATTTGTGTTCTTAGTTCAATCTAAATCCTAAATCAATCATTTTTCTTTTTATCAGAATGATGTATTTTTTTAATTCTTTTTACCATTTTTTATATTGACATAATCGAAGTTGAATTGAATTTGTCCGAGTTGTGAGTAAATAAAATTTGAATTGATTAATTTTGTTTTGGTTGAAATTAAAACTCAACTCAAATTAAATTCTAAATCATGAATTTATAAAACCATTTTACCAAATTAATCAAGACATGATAAAATTATAAGTACAAAATTTACCAAATGTTTTATAAGTACAAAATTATAAAAATGAAATTAATCTAGACATGATCAAATTTCACTTCATATCACTCATTTAAATCATTTACTTGACCATAAAAAATAAAAAAAAAATCATGTCTAACCATGGCAATGCAAAGGGCGTTACATTAATTTCCTCCTCCCATCTGCAATGGGCAAAGAAATCAAGAATTAGAAACTAGCCTTCTTTAGATTCTGAATTTTATCAATCAAGACTAAGCTCCTTTTTTTATGCTGTAATCAATTTTAGACAAATCATTCATATTCAAATTGACTCAATGTATTCAAGTAAAAATTAACCCTTGTTGTTTATGCCAACATAAGTGAATTGGGTCATACAAAAAATTATTGCTCGGTCTTTGGAACTAAAAAAAAAAAATGAGCAATAAACACTGACAAGAAACACAATGACACTGGCCTTTAATCAAGGACTATTGATCTTTTAAATGTGGTTAATTTGAGGGGCTTGCACTTGAGAGTATTGGATTCCAATGAAAATATGGCATGGAAGGCCACTTGACCTTTGGGGATTTGGGCATAAAAGAAAAGATAATGCATGTGATCTAGGCTTAGATAAAGGAGGTGAGCTAGGGCTATTCGACATAGCATTGTTTAGTGATAATTAGGTTTTTGGTGGTTGCATTGGTGGTTCTATTGGCATAAATACAGTTAAGAAGAACAGGAACCACTTGAACTAATTATTCAACTTTAACAATCATTTTCCATAATATTTTGTTTTCTAAAATGCCTTGCTGATTAATTTTTCTTAAACATGCATTTAGCTTGAAGAAGAATTTATATAATATCAGTTATTTTATTCGTAACAAAAAAAGAATCATAAATGAGTTTAATTACACTCAGTTTATCCATACTCTTAAGTTTCATCATAAAACAATTCGCAATACAAAGTTACAACTACTTATTGTTGCTCTTCAAAATGCTATGTATATATAGGTAGATAAATAGATTGGATCACCTAAGGTTTTTTGCACAAATTAATTAATGATATGTGAATCGTCAAGTTCTCTTAATTTTTAATAGAAATTATAATTTAATTTCTATTAATATCTCTTTTCTCCATATAAAATATGTTGATGCATTAGTAGCCCTTAAGTTTTTATGCATTGAATATATAAAAATTTGAAAGGTTATCACCTTTAATAAGAGATTTTTATCTTTTCTATAAGATTTGATTGTCTCAAACAAAATTGTTGGGATTCTTATGATCAGGTTGCTTGTTTTTATTGAAATGGATGACTAGTTGGTTTATCTTTATTAAAAGTGGTCTCTTAAGAAATAAAATGACAATATGAAATGTTATTCATCTAATGGTGAGGATGAAAAGTTATTTCCTTTATAATCTTAACCATTCTTGCTTTCATTTTTTTCTTTTTGTAATTTTTTTATAAAAATATATTTATTAAGCAAGTTTCACTCTATTTTCAAGAGAAATTGTCATATTAGCTATTTTCTACTTGGAAATTTCTTTTTTTCCTTACCAAAAAAATAAACCCTAAAAAATTCAGATCTGACCCTATAAGTAGAGGTATTTTTTCATTTAGTGTTGATTTCAAGTTTCAACTAGAAACCAGAGGAAGCAGTAGAGGATAATGGTTCATTAGATTAGGCCTTAAAACTATAGGGAATGAAACTCTAGCGTCCACCTTTGGTATATGGAAGGTAGTTCTCATCATCGATGAACCCACTATTGTTTCTAAGGAACCTCAGGAAAGAGAAGCTACCTCAAGCCTCTAAGAACGATGCCCCTATCATTTTAAATGAAATGAAAATGACATTTGTTAATGATTGGCATCCAGGAGAGTATATACCTCAATTGCCTACAAGGGTTAAACAGATTAGCAAAGCAACCTTAGGCTTTGTCTAAGGACAATTTGAAATTACAACCCCTATATGCATGTATAAGCTTGGGTATTCCTTTCCTCTCCAATGGTTTGTAAGGGAAGTGTTTAGGCATTACATGTTAGGTCCAGACCAGCTGTATCAAATTGCATAGATAATTTTGGTTGTCTTTGACAAGTTCCTCATGCTTGTTAGAATCGAGCCTATCATGAACATTAACATCTAGTTCCTAACACTGATGGTGATAATGATATGCATTAGTTCTTTACCTTCCCTGATAAACCTATATGATTTATGAAGGGGACTTTACAAGGCAAGCTTGTGCATGTCAATAAACAGAGAGTGAAGTGACTGATAATTAGGTATAATGGACTAGTCAACCCCAAAGATGAGATCAACCTAATCTGGTTCCTCCTTCTGAAAATACCCTAGTAGATTCTTGAATAGTTTTGATAACAATTAGAACAATAATAGTCTCTTTGCTTTGCTAAAAACCTAAAAACGAAAGTAAGGAATGAATACTTTCCTGTTAATGCAAGGTCTTGAATTAATTCCTTTATCTTTCTTATCTAGAAGCAACAAAAGGTACATATAAATTGATTTTTGGTAATTTAATATACCCTGTTCCCTTCAAGATCTCTTTTGAAGGTATAAAATATATGATCTATAATAAATAGAAGTGGAATTTGCATATGTTATATGTATTTTTTAAAACATGGTCTTTGGGCTTTCTATCCACCCATGTCTATTTTATATGTGACAACAAATCTGGAGTTGTATCTATTATTAGAGAGCACCTTTCATTGAGTTGAACAATATGACTAATCTAAACTTAAATAAAAAGAAAGCATATGCTACATTAATGTCGGTTTTAACCGAATACAATGTCAATAGAATGGCCAAAATGCATTACCAAGCCATGTTGTAAAGTATACAACCTCTTTATCATTTTGTTTTTATACATCTAAGTTCAAATATTAATTTCTTTTATGCAAGGTTAATAGCTAAAAGAGAAGGAGAAACTTTGTTAAGGGTTATAGAGGAGATTTTAGCTACATTAAGTAGAGGTTTTTTATTTTTTTATTTGAGTTGTGACATGATTAGAGAAGAAATAGAGCACAACCCCATCAATATAGATGAATCATTATTTGTAATGACATTATTCTCGAGGAAACAATGGCAAGATCTACCACCCCCGTAGAAGTCAAAGTTAGAGGGAGTCCTTCTCCCCTGGTTAAGGGTCAAGCATAGTTGACTGCTCCTAAAGTACTTGTAGGTGTTGTTGCTTGCTTTAAAAGAAAAAAAAAGGTCTCTATCTTTGTGGATACTAGCAATGTAGCCTCAACTGTAAATACTTCCTCTATATTGATAATCCTAATGCCCTCACCCTTAATCTCACCTACAGAGACTTTAATTGTTGGGGCATCTGTTTAAGGTGCTTATAAGAAAGTTGGAGAGAGGTTTGAGGATGGTTTTGCTAGCCTCGTCCTCAGTCAAGCTCTTTTTACTTTAATACCTTGATTGAGGAGTAAAGGTCGGTTATAAAAGCTGTCATTTGTAAGAGGTATGGCTTTGGAGATATTGGCCTAGAGATGTTGAAGCATTTAGAGAGGGTTCTTACCATTTCTTTAAACATCTTGAGGATTTCTGATTAGTAAAAAACTTACAACCATCATCCAACCTTTACTAAACAAGTAGTCTTCAATGTAAGAAACTTGCTTCAATGTAAGAAACTTTATTGTCTAACTTCATCATTTACTTTAGTTTATCATTGTTATTTTTAACCATTGTTTGTCATTGGTAGACTTTTATAATGCATGCTCATTCTAAGAGGCACTGGATGACTAAGAGGAGCTAGGTGGGGGAGGTTATTGCCAAATATAGGGTACACCAAATTGCCTTTCAATATCTAAGGGAAGGCTATCACACATTCTATTCTAGAAGTGTCTTTGTTATTTGCCATTGATAGTGATTAAAAATGTCAAAAACAAGTTCAAGGAGAACAATTGATGACTTTTTAAATAGTTCCTCACAGATTGTGCCAACTAATGATGTTTTAAAATTCATTATACTTAGAAATGAGGTTTTAAGTATTGAGATAATGGATAATCACATGTTCATGTTAATATTATTTTCTTTAGAGTTCATGAAGTTTATGGTTAATGATAAAAAATCTAACACCTATAAAACAATTTTTTTTTATGGGGTTTAAGGATCCTTTAATGATAAAGTCAATGATTTTTAATAAGAAATTACAATAAATGAGAGAATGAACTTTAAATTATAAAAATAAGAGTATTTGTTCTTGTTTGTATATAAGAAATGCTTTGAAAATAAAAGTATAAATGCTGTAATAATAAGAGCATGATAAATTCTAGAGTTCATGAAGTTTATGGTTACCGGTAAAAGATCTAACACATGCAAAACAATCTTTTTTTTATTAAGGTTTAAGGATCCTTCGATGATAAAGTTAATTATTTTTAATAAAAGGTTATGATAAATGAGAGAATGAGCTTTAAGTAATAACAATGTTTGTTCTTGTTTGTGTATGATAAATGCTTTGAGAATAAGAGTCTGAATACTTAGAGAATAAAAACAAACATAAACCTTTTTCCTGGGTGGTGAAGGGGGATATATATAGCTTTTGAACCTTGTCATGTTGCTTGAATAAAGGGATTATAGTGTCATTTCCTCCTGATAGTATTAATAAAAGATAAGTATATCTTACACAATATTAATGAAAGATAAATTTTTCATACACAATAT